TTACCTTCTGTGCTTTTCATCACATTACAGAAATGACAGCAGAGCAGCAAGGTCCTAGACTGCAGAAAGTGAAAACGTGCTCAAACGTAACAGCCATGAGCACACAAATAAAGGAAAGAAGTGACTTACCTTCAGAAGGCCTCGTGCATGCAAGGATCACCAGCAAGATCCCTTTGCCTCCACTACTGACCTGTAAATGAGGTCTGGGAAGGGCTGGATCCTGGATCCACCCCTTCCAGTCACTGAGGTGCATTGCTGCACCTGAGCTCCCCTGCATTGGCCCCACCTTTCTACCAGGTGCTCAGTCACTGGTCCAAGCCATGAGGTAGCATTTCCACTACACCTTCACACGGCATTCTCCTGTCTGGTTTTACTAAGCATACCAGTTTACTTTTATACCAGCTATCAAACAAGGAGTCATACTGACAAATTACTGCTTATCCAGTGAATTTCCCACCACACTTAAATGAACACATTTACCTGCACCTAAAAATTTTCCACCCATACCAGAAGTAGCAGTGCATTACCATCCCAACGCAGACATTATTACTTATGGCTAGGAATGGAAATGAAGAGGAGCAACTCATCTACTGGAATGAGTTATGTATAGTTAATGGTATCAGCATGAACAGAATGTTATCAAGAAAGCCTAGAGGTCCTTTGGACTAGATGGAAAAATCACTGCAGTGTGTCACGTGCTACTTGAGTGGATGACTAAGCAGCAACAAGTGTTAAAGTACATCTCTTTACTGAAGAAGAGACGGAGTCTCCTTGAAGAAAATCTAGAGACAAAAGTTTTAACAATCCCCCTCAGTGACCCACGTTAAAACAAGAAAACAACATTTGCTTTGATTGTTAAGGCTCTGATCTCACTCCACACCATTTTCCTTTTGATGGATTTTTATATCTTATGACTAGTGTCCAATGTCAGCGGTAATTGATGGCTGCAAGTACAAAAACTCCCTATTGAAAGTTGGCTTTGTTGTTACTTCTATATCAAGATGTCTGCTTTGCTAGAGTTAACTTCTGAAGCACAGTCCTTCAGGATTTAGCAGATGAATCTATGACTTCCAGCATGCTTCTGTGTAGCAATAGCAAATAAAAAAAACCCACTGGAATTACTAGTTGCTATCTCATCTTTTTACTTTAGGAAGCACAGGGAAACACTACAGATCAGAACTACCTCTGGGGACAAGGGATCATGAGGGTTAAAATTAGAGAAGACAGTTTGACAGCTTTCAATTCATGTGGAAGTATTACTAAAAAGTGTTTTGAATTATGTCACACAGGGCAAGTGTCACTGTAGTGAGAACTTACAGTGCCAGCAAGTGTCAGGACAAATTACACTGCAGGACAAGCACACTATATGTCACCACACTTCCAAAAGGCAAAGCTTCCACCCACTGTCAAGAAGCTGCTTCCATTTCCAAGTCAGTATATACCCAATTGCTCTTATTCACATCAAAACAGCACATGGCAAATAATACAGTAACATTATTGACAACTTCAGGATCCCTCCCTAGTCGGAGGGACCAAATGCTCTGATTCTCCACCACCTTAAAATACAATCACTTCAAGTCTCTGGACTCACATACATAAACAGGTGCCTCGAAACCATTCGAAGGCACTGCTCACCATGCTAATGAAAAATCTCCCTCTGTCTCTTATACTTCTGGGTCTGCCTGTATCCTTCCGGTCTTTCTCACCTCTTAGATTAGATGCCCTTGGCAGAAAGGAGAATTTGCAAATTATGCTAAACCTGGCACAATACCTGGTACAACTGATGGCTCGTCAGTGCCTGGGGTTCCTCAGTACTAACAGTAAAAGCAAAGAAGAGGAACATGAAATTTATTGTACCAGAAAGTAGAAAGATGGGGCTAAGTCATAACAAAAGCTATAAAATACTTCATGAGCTGAAGGAAATTTTTATTGAGTCTGAACTCTTCTAATATGACTTCCTGCAAGTTTTCAGGAGCTCCTCCAAAGAGGTTTTAATTTAATACTTAGACTGCTGAAACAAATTAACCAAAACATGCATAATATCTGTTATTATCGAAATAACTGAGTTGAGTATAAAGCAGAAGGAAATCCATTCCCATGCTTCCTCAGATTTATTTTTCAGTATTTTTCATCAGAAAAATCAAACACAACGGCCAAAGAAAACACAACCACCTAAAGGCCACGATATGTCAATATGTAACATTCTTAAATAAATGACAATATGAAAGTTCAAGGACTCAAGGCCCAACCTCAATTAAGACACCATTGCCTCCAGCTATTTATTCTATCCCACAGCCTATGATCCAAAAAGCAGAGCTGCTACAGTAACTACGATATGTACGATACCTCAGTTGCTTTAAAGCAGAGAGCAAACAGTACTGAAAATGCAATGAAGTTCTAAATGAAGATGCAGTCTGTACACAGAAGTAGCTGGAGTGCTAGCTCATGATCCATATAACTACTGCGGGGATGACAGCCTTTGGCAAATGAAAACTAACAAAGCAACTCTGGAGCTGTAACAACACTTCTTGCTGTGAATAAGTGCCAATAAATCCAGTTAACTAAGACACCACAAGACATTCTGACCCTGTACGTTTTTCTGAGCCGCCAGTACCAGCTCTTTTCAGAAAGGAGTCAATTTATGTGCAACTCTGTCTGTCACTGACTTGTGTTCTGAATGGCTGAACTTGAGCTATGCCTGTGTAAGCTGAATTCCCCTCCATGCATTCATTCTCCATTCCCAGAATGGTTGCTACAGGAAAGCAAATCCTATTTGGAAGGATTACTTGTCACATAACTGCCAGAAGCCCTGTCCAAGACTGAGCTCCTTCCCATGCCAGAAACCATAAAACTTTAAAGGTCCACACATTCAGAAAATGCATGATTAAAGTGCGCAAGGTGGGAACACAAAACAGTACCACCATACTGTATATTCAGAAAGAAAGCCAGCACTCCCCTCCTTTGGTTCCCTTTATATTAGGGATTTGGGCTAAAGCTAGGCTAAACTCAAGCATGAAGGTGCACAGAACAAGAAAGCACAGGCCAGACCAGGATGTGCACTTGTTTAGCCAAGCAGAATCCATATTGCTACCAACTACTATCTAACACTTATGTGCAGACAGCAGGTACCACACAAGTATATGTGAGAGAAAGTTAAACATCAGAGAATTATCTATTGTCTAGAGCAGTACATGCAGGTTTTTGTGTTCTTTCTACACACATTCCCCCATTAAAACATCATGGAACTTACTGTCATGGAAACATTAAAACAGTCATGGAAACTTACTGGAATGTCCCAAGCACTCAAGAGCTCGAACATGTTTTTTCCTTGCAAGTTTTATTTGCCGATTCTTATCTTTGCATTTTCTAAATATTTCACACATTCCGTCCCTGTTATTTCTGTATATAAGAGATCATTTCCTAATTTGTAGGATGTCATGACATAGCCTGTTTCCTTCTCCTTCTTAAAAAGAGGAACTCCATAAATTTAGTTCTTCCACAAGAAAGGAAAGAAGACTGCATACTTGTGATAAATGGCAGGTAACACAGGAAACTGGTGGGCAGTATTTTGGTACAAAGGAGAAGCAGCAGCAGTACATCCCACCAGCAGAAACCGTTCCTTTATTATTGAACACAAGCTGGTGAGAACGGAGCATCACACAGACTTTGGCTGAAAATCCTTCCTGGAATGCAGACAACACCAGCTAGTATCAGTTGTAACTGCTCTTTTTTGTGCAAAGTGCACAGCTGCCTGATTTGAGCTCTTCAGCGTCATAGAGCTAGAGTTGCAGTTTTGCATTTGCTCTGCACCAATCCTTCATTGATTGGAGTGGCTAGAACCTGAAGTCCCATAATAACCATCCTCCAGCCATACAAAACTACACTTTCTTCAAAATCAGGAGTTTTATTTTAATAGATTATCTTGTCCAGTGCCTTTCTGAAGAGTTTCTATCAGTTGAATTTTTTATTTTTTAAATCTGTTCTGAACTTTTCCTGAAAATAACTCAGTAAAACAAGCACTCAGAATAACTGATAGCATATCCAGGCACCAGGCAAAAGGTAACAAGAACGTAATACATTATTATATCTTCAAACAAAAGTACTGGAAAAGCTGTATTAGTTAGAGTAAACATATCACGCAATAATCATAAAAGTAAAAGAACACTAAGAGCATAAGAAGAGAGCACCATAATTTACGCTCTAGCAGCACTGAGTTTAGACAGATTTTCTGGTTAAGATTCAGCACTAAGAGATATAGGTTCCAAGTCTACTTCTATCTACATCTCTGGGCAGGTAATAAGCATTTAGACAGATGATACATCACATGAAAAAAAAAAAAAAAGTGAGGAAAGACCTACCAGCACAGCCTAAAGCCAGACAACCTGTGGAGCTACCTTAGCAGACACTTCACACAAAAGCTTGAATTGTAAAGGCTCTGAGAATTCACATTTTTCACAGGCTCTTGAAAACCTACACCTCCCCTGGTCTGATTATTGTCCAGTCATACATTTATTGTAGACCACAAATGGAACACGATAGAAAATGCAGTAATAACAACAGAGCAGCAAGGTCCTAGGCTGCAGTAAGTAAAGATCTGCTCAAGTACAGCAGCCACCGAAATAAAAGAAAGAAAGAAGCTGCTTACCTTCAGAAAGCCTCAAGTACACAGGGATTTCCAGTGGGATCCCTTTGTCTCCAACACCAACCCTTAAATGAGGTCTGGGAAGGGGTGGATCCTAGTTCCGCCCCTTCCAGTTATCCAGATACACTGCATGCACCTGAGCTCCCCTGGGTTGGCCCCACCTTCCCACCAGGTGATCAATCACTGGTTCAAGACATGACTTAGTATTTCCACTACAACAGTTACTAGCAGCGAGCCTCTAGAGTGAACAAGCTCCTGAGAGCACTTCACTTGCCACCTTGGGGAAAGCCATTGCAGAGATAGCTGTACTGCACTGAAGAGAAACAAACTGGAAGAAAAAAAACTTTATGTGCTTTACCTTGTAGTGAGAAGTGCAGATGCCTCCAAACATATTTATATCCATACAGTCCATTGGTTCTGACCTTTCTGGTAACAGCAGCTCTTCCACCTTCTTGTTTTGGTACTTTTAATTTGCCAACTGATGCAACCTGTAAATTTACAGAAGTGGGTAAGTTATTCCAAGACATTTATCCATCACATTCTACAAGGCACTCAACTTTAATGCATATGGCACTGTGCCATGTATCTTCTATTGCTCTCAAGAGCTTTCAGCACAATGGCTTACAGTCCACTGTTTCAGTACATCATTGATTTTTTATTTTTCTATTTTTTTCTTTAGGAGGATAAAGAAAGAGATTCTTTCCTTGGATTTATTTTTCAGGAAGTCCCGTGTGTGCATATCATGTGTTTAAGAACATGCTTTTACCTTTTGAATTTCAAACACTCATGATGCTAAATTGTCAATTTACTTCTGAATTTATCTGTTAAAGGCTGATTCTCATGGAAAGAAAAAGTTAAATTTAAATTCTAGCTCAGGAGTAGGAATGTTACTAATTTGAGAAAGAAAAGAGTGACAGATATAGATCAGTTTTCAGCAATTAAGGTAACAAAAAGAAAAAGCTCCTTCAAAAAAAAAAAAAATTACTTTGCTGCTCAAAATTTTTCAGCAACACGGAATTTCTTTTCTAGAAATACTCAGGGAATCTCAGGGAGATTCCTTAAAAGTATCTGCAGCTGCACTGCATTTATTTAAATTTGATCATCCAACCAAAAGGAGCTCTGAAAACCAAGGAACAGCTTTTCTGATTGAGCTCAGCAGCTGCCATCAGTGGGACCTATGAAGGCATCACATATGCTTGAACCATGGGCCAGATCATTTGGCTTACCAGGAAGGGGCAGTAGAATAAGAAATGCAAAATATGTGCACCCTGGTACATGCCTGGATGCAGGTAGAGATTGCTTTGTGCTGCTACAGCACAAAGACCTTGTGTATGCAAACATGTCAACTGTGTGACTGTAGGACAGATATGAGATAGCTTGCACACTGCAAAAGAAGAATGAGCCAACAGCAGCTGATGTGATAAAGAGTTTGTGAAAAGACATCTAGAATGTTTTTTTCTTGGTTGTTCAGGAAGATTAATTGTCCTAAAGCATAGAATCTGCTCAAATGCTGATGGAAGCAGAAAAATGAATAGATTTTAGTCTGCCATTATAAAAAGAATGCTATATTATTTGGATTCAAAACTTGGGTGTATTCTTTGTATATAATACTGTGTTAATATTTTACAGTTTGTCCCCTGTAATGATAAACATTACTTGAAGTAATACCCAGGTTAACTAACAAGATGTCTGGAGTGCCTTCGAGCATCTTGTTATATGCTATGCCTATAGCTATTTGCTCAGAAACTAAAGCAAAAGGGACTGTTAGAGAAAATTTTCATCTTGGTTAGCTTCTCTCCTGATTTCAGTTACGCTGTTAACCTACAAAGGTACCAAAGGAAAAAGAAGTGACTGCACTGCTCTTGGCTCCACTTGCTGATGTTAGATCTACCTCTCAAAAGTCTTACCATGTGAAAAGCAGATTTCAATTTTTCTATGTGTGCCTGTGTGCACAAATATTCTATCTAAACCTCTCTAATTTGAAATTATTGCAGAGCGTGCTAAAAAGCATTGCTTTAACAGCCTGACACATACAATATTGGTAACCTCTCCGAAGCCTTCAAATAGGAACATCACTGGTCAGGCAAAACCTCTATTTTGTGTGTCTTGTGACTGTTTTCACTTCCAGAAGGCAGAAAGTGAACAGGCAAGGTACACAAAAGGCACACGAGTCCCACTCCACTGATTTTGATTAATCTTTTTGCAGTCAATGTTGATCTGGGCCAACGATGACAGAGACAAAGTTGCAACTACTTCCCAGATACAAAGAACTCCCAAAATAGCTGTGCAGTTTCAATCTTGAGAGAATTATATGCAAAAATGCACACGTGTGCATGTATTATTAAATCCCACAATCAATCTTACTGTATTACTTCCATTTTTAGATCATAATAAAGGACACAAAAACATAGTCCTGCCTCACCCTGGGTAGAAGACTACCTCTAGATTGCAATCTGAATGCCAGTGATCTTTTAGGTGACTGTTACTTTCACCATTTCCCCCATGTCTTCCACCATAAACGCTATAGTTGGGCTTTGTCACAAAATGCTTCTTGCTGCTTTGAAGCGCTGTGATACTTTACTTGAGGGCACCTCCTGGTGAAGCCTCCCTTAGTAGAGAGAGCTTAATAAAGCAACATGAACTGCTCACCCAAGCTTCTTAATTAGAAGTATAACAAACCTGCCATCATTACGACAAAAAGTAGTGTTTTGAGTGCCATAGAAGAGTATGTAACCAATTCAGAATAAAACTCACACATCCTTTCTAATTCACAGAATCACAGAATCATTAAGGCTGGAAAAAACCTCCATGATCACCTTGTCCAGCTGCCAACCCATCCCCATCACTCCACTGCCCACGTCCCTCAGTGCCACATCCACACAGTTCTTCAACACCTCCAGGGACGGTGACTGCACCACCTCCCTGGGCAGCCTGTGCCGCTGCCTCACTGCTCTTTCTGAAAACAGATTTTTCCTAACATCCAACCTGAATCTCTCCTGGAGCAACTTGAGGCCATTCCCTCTCATCCTATCACTGCTACCTGGGAGAAGAGGCCCAGAGAAAACTGGGGAATAACTTTGCGGCACAAGATCTGTGAGGCCTGGTGGACAAGTGGATCATAAGCTTTGTCACAAAGACAGAGTAAAGAAGATGGAACCAGACTCAGTCATGCCTAGTGAAAGAACAAGAGGCAAGAGACAAACTAAATACAGGGACCTCCATTTAAGCACTGTGAGGTTGTTTCAGCGCTGGCAGAGGTCCCCCAAACAGGCTGTAAAGTGTCATTTCAGTAGAGCATAGCCATTTAGCACCCAACTGGACCCAGCCCCCCAGAGGGCTTGAGCTCCTGCCAGCCTCAGCCACCCTGCCAGTCTGTAAACGGAGCCTTGTTTCCTAATCTCCTATTTATTTACCTATTTTACTTATTTATTTATTTTTAAACAAGTGTGTTATTACTGACATAGCTAAGTTGAACATTCAAACAGTGGGACAAGAATTTCATTTGAGGTCTCTGTGCTATGGATGGAACAGATTGATGAAACAACGAATTTGAAAATCGAACTGGATGTTGCAAACATACGTGCCAGCTCATACACTTCCAGCCAATGCCATCAGCAAACCAGAGGCCCCAGTGAGCGTTTCAGTGGTGGACTGCACATACTGCCAGCCAGGAGCAAGGACTTCCCAGCAGAGGTGCGCAGTGCTCTTACCAAAAAGGTGGCTCAAAGTGCTGCACAGCCCAGTTCCTCAGTCAGCCAGGAGCACGGAGAGGATCAGAGCTTCCCCATCACCACTGAGGAGTTCCATGTTCCTAACACTACGTCACTGATCATCTCAGCATCTTTATTTCTAGTACCTCAAACTCAAATTGGAAAAGCTGTATTTACAACACAGTACAGAGCAGGTCCCAATTTGCAATCTGGTCTCACTCCTAACCTATTACTGGTGAGTAATTACTATTACTACCTATTAGTACCTTAGCTTTCAGTCAGGAGATTCAGCTACAAAACTTTTTGAGGGTTGATTTTAAGTTTAAAACATAACTGCAATTAAAAAAAATATTTTGTACATTTACTGTGGCCAGCATGTGCCTCTAGTTGAATTATTTGTTGCCAGACCATGGTAACTATGTTATTTCATGATTTCCTGCAGTGCAGTTCAGGTAATGACAAAATAGCTTCACTTCAAATTGTACTGACTAAACTAACTGTTAAGTATTACAGCCAAATTCCTACCCTCTAAATCACTGGAGAGATGTTGCCAACACCATGTTCTCTTGAGTGATACCACAGGATAAGCCTTAATAGCAAAAACTACAATATTAGTAAGTTTCACATTTATGAATTCATTTAATTGTTTAGTAAATGTGGCCAGACATGGCAGTTAATATATTTCACAAACAAGGATGTCGTGATGAGTATTAAGTATGAGAATTAAGTAGAAAAATTTTTACATGGATCTGACTAGAATAAATAATTTGCAAGTACCTACAATAGAATTTATGCATAAATTAGTTGCCTCTATTTACCTGACAAATGACAAATTCATTTTATAGCATGGTGAAAAACCCTAATCTAAGTGAATCCTCACAGAAGAACTTGTTTGCCTGCAACGAGATGGTTTGGAGAATAAGTTTGCTAGGTTTTGTTGATGCAGCTGAGGCCTGTTGCACGCCACCGAGGGACTTGGCTTTGCTCAACTCTTGCCACGGGTAGCTGCAGGCTGCGAGGCAATGTGTTGCCTGCTGACTCAGCTTATCTGCTAAGGCAAAATTCAGCCCCGGCACAACCTCCGAGGGAAGGCAGCACCAGAGCAGACGCTACAGCACAGGCACTTAGCAATATTGCCTCCTGTTGCCAGCAGAGGAAAGATCGCCCAGTGTTTTCAAACTTCTTGAGGCATGCTGTGTCAATACATAAAATGCCTTTAATATATGCACATTATTGCAGCTATTTCAGCATAATATTGGCATGTCAGTCTTATTAGCAAAGAAAAAAGTCTTTGTCACTAATAACTTGAGTTGTATTTTATTCTGCAGTATGCTATTCTACCTGCAGATCCTACATACAGCTGTATAATGGCATCTCTCCCATTTTAACACTTATAGCTGATTTCTTTTCACTTTCATCTCTCCAGTGAAAGACTAATGTTTAATCTATTTCATATCTGGCATTCATTCAGTGAACATCAGTTTATAAGGGTAGAGGAAATCCCATTAATCTTAATAGGATTAAGGGTATTTGTACCGTTTTGCTGTTTTCAATTCCTCAGAAATAAAGAATATCTTTAAAATGAATATTTTGCGGTCAAACAGCTCATTAGAGTGATCCATCACAATCAGAACAGGTAGTATAAACTTGTTGTAACTATTTCATTACATCTGCAGAGGTTACTTCATTAGGACCTACAGTAAACCAGGAAGTAGATCAGTCACACTGGGACCACAGAAAAGTAGGCAACACCTGATAGCTTGCACGTGTGGGTTTAGTTCTGGTTAACACAGCGTTCAAGTAAAGTTTTATACTGCCTTCAGATCCAGGTGGTATCGCTGTTACCATATTGCTGTCTGTTCCTGCAGCTGATCTGGTTCTATCACTTTACAAATGTAAGGATTGGAACTTTACATAGCTTTGAACAGTTCTGTCAGCATCTGTTTTCCAGAAGCACTGCTGCAAAGCACCAGGAATACATTACAGCACCATTTTTTTGCTTTGCTTTTTTGAACCGCATTCCTCAAGTTCACTCTTCTCCATGTCCCCCCCCACCCCCCCCCGAAAAGCCAGCTGTGACACGACAGAATCACTCAGCAGCAGCACATTCCCATCACTGATTTAGCACCTGAAGCAACAGAAGGAGCATTTTTAAACATTAAACCAATAGGATAAAGGGCGACTGATCCTATTTGCTCTGATTAGTGGCTTTTTCCACAGAAAGAACTCCCGCCATAGAGCCAGAAGCTTTCTGTAGTTACAAACGGGGGATTTTCTGTTAGATCATCTGTCTCGCAGTTGAGCTGCACAAGCACAGCCATTTATTCACAGCACAGTTCAATCCCTTTCCTATTTTTTCCCGGAGAAGTCAGTTCAGTCCTTAACGCACAGCTGTCCTACGTCTCCTCCGACCCTTCCACTCTACGCAAGCTTTAACACATTATCCCGAAGCGGTCCGTGGGCCCCTCCTACTATTCGAATCAAACAGAGAAAGGCTCTCGCTCGCAAAGCCCCGGCTACGAGGTGATGCCTCGCACAGCACCACACGCAGCCTTTCCTATGGCCGCGTTCCCGAGCGGTGTAAGGAAGGATGCCGTCCTTCATGCAGCCTTCTTTTAACACAGCATGCACTGCACAGGCTTCGCTCCTCACGCCGTGGAGCAGCCCTGCCTTCGGCTCGGTATCGCCAGTATCGGCTCGGTATCCCGGCACACGCGCTCGGGCACGGCAAGCGCCTTGCAGCTCCCGCTTTAACGTACCCTACCTCCTAACAGCGAGGCGAGGCTCTTCCTGCACCGATCGATGCGAATGTCACCTCTCCTCCCCGCTCCCGCCCAGCCACGAAGAGTAGAAACCACCGCTGGCCATTCCCGGCGCGCGCCTACCTCCGAAACCGCTTATTCACGTACGCCGGAGGGATGCAGAAGGACATCTAAAACGCAGCGTCTTTAAGCCAGCAGGGAGACCCGCCGGGCAGATGCCACTTCAGACAGCATTTCATCCGGAGAAACGGAGAGCCGAGGGAACGGAGCCCCTTCCCCTGCTGTTCCAGCCGGGAGCTGCCGGCTGCTGGCCTCCGCCGAGGGCGCGGAGCGGCGGGCACACAGCGGAGCGGCGGGCACACAGCGCCGCGCTCTGCCGCCGCCCGGCCCGGCCCCGCCGCCGCCGCAGGCGGAGCTCCCGCGGGCCGCGCACAAAGCGGGGGGCGGCTGGCCGGGAGGGGCCCGGCTGCGGCAGCGGGCGTGTGTCTGTCAGCGAGGGGCTGCGGCGGAGGGAGGTGGGAGGCAGGGCTTTGGCGCGGCCCCGCTGGGTCACGGAAAGGGGAGGTCCGGGGTTCGGGGAGACAGTTTGAAAAGGCCAAGAGAGCCGCCGAAGCAGCGCGGAAACAGAATCAATCACAGAATAACCCGAGTTGGAAGGGACCCGTGAGGATCACAGGATACGGTTGGCTGCCTGGGCTGCAAGCGTATGCTGTTGGCTTGTGTTTAATCTTTCATCAACTGGCACTCCCAAATCCATCTCAGGGCTGCTCTCAAGCCATTTGCTGCCCTGTAGCTACCTGTATCTGTGCTTGGGATTGCCCCGACAAGTGCAGGACCTTGCAACTGGCTTTGTACTTCATGACGGTGGCATGAACCCACCCCTCAAGCCTATCTCCGTCCCTCTGGGTGGCATGCCTTCCCTCCAGCGTGTTAACTGCAGCACTCAGCTTAGTGTTGTCTGCAAACTTGCTGAGGGTGCACTTGATCCCACTGTCTGTATCACCTACAAAGATGTCAGATTACACTGGTCCCAACACCGATCCCCAAGGAACATCACTCGTCACCGCTCTCCACTTGGACATTGAGCTGCTGACTGCAACTCTCTGAGTGCACCCATCCAGCCAGTTCCTTATCCAGTGAGTGGTCCATCCATTAAATCCATTTTTCTCCCACTTGGCAACTAGGATGTCATGCATGCAGGACGGTGTCAAATGCTTTGCACAAGTTCAGGTAGATGATGTCAGTTGTTCTTCCTTTCTTCATGGAGACTGTAACTTCATCGTAAAAGGCCACCAAGTTTGTCAGGCATGACTTGCCCTTGGTGAAACCATGTTGGTTAGCACCAATCACCTCACCTTTATTTTCCATGTACTTTAGTAGGGCCTTCAGAAAAATCTTCACTTTGATCTTGCCAGGCACAGAGGTGAGATTGACTGGCCTGTAGTTCCCTATATGTTCCTTTTTTCCCTTCTTGAAAATGGGTGGTATGTTTCCCCTTTTCCAATCAGTGGGAACTTCACCAGATGCCATGACCTTTCAAATATGATGGATAGCAGCTTGGCAACTTCATCTACCAGTTCTCTCAGAACTCGTGGATGGATCTCATCAGATCCCATGGACTTGTGCACCTTCAGATTCTTTATATGGTCTTTAACCTGATTGTCACTTACTTCAGGCAGATCTTCCTTCTCCAAGTTCTGACCATTGCTTTCTGCAACTTGGGCAGTGTGGCTAGAGCCCTTGATGGTGAAGACTGAGGCAAAGAAGTCACTGAGCATCTCAGTTTTCTCCATATCCCTCCAGTTTCCTTCTGGAAAGGGCCCACATCTTTCCTGACCTTTTATCACTGATATACCTGTAGAATCTCTTCTTGTTCCCCTTTATGTCTGTGGCTAGATTTAATTCTTTCTGGGTTTTGGCCTTCTTAACCTGATCTCTCACTGGTCAGACAGCTTCTTTGTAGTCCTCACAGGTAACCTGTTCCTGCTTCCACTCCCTATAGGCTTTCTTTTCGAGCTTAAGCAAGTTCAGGAGCTCCTTGTTGACCGACAAAGGCCTCCTGGCATTCTTGCCAGGATGCACTGCTTCTGGGCTTGGAGGAGATGGTCCGTGAATACTGACCAGCTTTCTGGGGCTCTTCTTCCGTCCAGGGCTATCTCCCATGTCACCCTGCCAACCAGTTCCCTGAAGAGTTTCAAGTCTGCTCTCCTGAAGTCCAGGGTCGCAAGCTTCTGCGCACCCTCTCTGACACTAAGGATTTTGAACTCCACCATTTTGTGGTTACTACAGCCAAGGCTGCTCTTGAGCTTCACATTACTCACCGGTCCACTGCCATGGGCAGGCTGCTCCATGCCCACCATCCACTGGCACAGCACCTGTCCCTCACCCCCAGCTGTCCCTCTCCTGACACAGCTCCCTTCTCTTGTGTCTGGTCGCTGTCACACAGAGCAGAGCTCAGCGCTGCCCCTCTGCTTCCTGTGAGGAGCTGCAGCCGCCATGAGGCCTCCCCTCAGCTCCTTTGCTCTGGGCTGAGCAAAAACAGGGACTACATCCTACCTTCCAGAACCTTCCGTATCTCCATAGCCCTCCTTTAAACACTAAGAGTTTTATCTCATTCTGTAATGTGGCAGCCAAAACTGTCTATCTTACCTTTTGTGCCTTCCTACACTTCATGGGAATTTCAAGTGTGACAGGAGTCCAGGAGGAGGGCTGCAATGTGGTGCACGCAACTTCAAATCTGCCTGAAAGCCACAGTGATGAGCTGGACATACTGGCCTACTCCCTCTGTGCTTCACTCCAGGGGATTTGCAAACTTCCCTCCCATTAAAGGAGGAATTACCATTGCTGCTGGTAAAACATTCCCTACACTGAAAATACAGGATATTCAAAGAGACTGTTCAGTGGAAAAGCACCAACCACTGCACTGTTTTTGTGGCTTTCTGTTCACTTTTCTTCTTTTGCCCAGTGCTTCATGCCAGTAACAGTATGAAAGGCCGCATCCACATCACACCGCAGAAACATCTGCACTTAGTTATGTTGTGTCTGCCTGCTTGTGGATACCCAGTTTGTAATGCTCAAAGGAAACCAATTGCCAGCTTATAGACTTTGTAACATGCCAACAGTCTTTGTAGTTATAGAGGATAAGACAGAATCTCTGCTCCAATGCCTGGGAACAAAGGGTTTTTGTATGTAAAATAAATGTATCTGTCTACACAAAGTGTCCAGCTAGGAGGGATTGTAGAAGGGCTGTATGTGTGCAGTTCAGCTTTGCAATATGCAATGCATTTTGGCAATCTGTGGAATCACCCCACAAACTCTTTAAAAGTTATTTTTCCAGGTTTTATGCAGTAACTATACCTTAGCACTGCACTTGGTAGTAGCTGGAGTACCACCAGAGCTAGATAACAGCTTTATATCCTCTTCTGATAGACTTGATGCAGGGCCAGTGTTAGAAATGGAGTAACTGCTGAAGAAGAACAAGTTCCTTCTTGGTACACATGAAATTCTAATCCAGATCAAAAGAGAAAGGAGAACCAATTGCTTTTCCTCCTGGACTGTACAGATTGAGGTAACAGTCCAAAGTTAAAAATAATCCTATGCTCCACACAGAGGGGAACAGTTTGGCAGAACATCCATCAACTCTAATAATGTTTTAGACAATTTTGTTATGGAAGCTTTATCCTCTACAGTTGCTTAGAGTAATTCAGTAGGAAGTCTCAACTGCTGAGGAAACATTAACTTAGGGTTCCCATCAATCACATATGAAAGCCATATATCAGAGAAATCCCTTCTTTCTTTGTTTTGCATACCTGAGGTTTAGTAGTTTGTTTCTAACTGAGGCTAAAGTACATTTTCTGAAGAAGACTATGGTTCGTCCTCTTCAGAGATCTCTAATTTAAGGAAAGGTTATGTCTTGCCTCTGCTGGAAAGCCAGTGAGCATGGCTCCTCCGAGGCATTAGAATTCAGAAGTAATTATACAGAACAAATGAAAAGACTTGGAATTTCTTCCTCATTGGAATAAAATTCATTTTTATGTTATAACTATGGCTATAAGAGATTTTCAAAATCATCTCGGGATTTACAAAAGCACAAGACATTATTCATTCTTGTAACTAATGAAAAATACAAAGGAAGTTTGGAACCAAAGAAAATGGCAATTTTTGGTGCAATAGGAAACCCATATTGAACATTTTCATACACAAAGTAAAATCTGTCTTTATGAAATGAGGGTAAGGTGCAAGGTAGAATGAATGAGACTATGAATATAAATTCAATAGAAAAATGCTTTTGTCCATGAGGCACTCTATCACTCATGAGAACTGAAGCTTGATGGATCTCCATCAGCTTCAAAGAGTCTGGATGAGTTGCACCAACAACGCTGACCCAGTATGAATAAAACATTCACAGAAGAGCCAGGGAAAGTCTGGTTTCTCCTTCCAGAGACCAAGCTAGCCACATCTTTCTGACAAACCAACTCATTTCTTCAGATCTTTTCTTTCATATTTTGGCCAATGTGACTTCAAGCTATCTGTGACAGACACAATCTTTAAATACAGCAGGTGGATAAAAGGCTTCCCATTTTCAGCTAAGAACAGTAGATGCCATATTAAAAAAAAAACAAAACAAAATCACAGAACCTTGGCCAGCAAACTAAATTAATACTGAATTTTTTAGAGTCCAATCAAAAAAAACGTCTCCCAACAGCTGATCTCATGGCAGTGCACAGGCAATGCTATTGCCAGCTCTCCATGCTGAGGTGTCACAGATGAACCAAACAGGCCGGGTGGGCCTACACAGCTGCCACCATTCACTCTTTCTGCAGACCAGTATCATGGTGGGTAACATTCATTCACCAGAAGCTTATAAACATGCAATTTCAAAGCTGAATCATTACGTCACTGGGAGGAAAAAGTGTACAGAACTTATTACGCAGTATTTTTCCACCCCCTTCTTATTCTAGGACTGTAATTATTCCCTGCTGCAGGAGCTGTACAGTAGTAATCCCTCTCCTCCTACATGCTTCATTTACAACTTGAGAGCTAACAGCCTATTAAGTTTTTAATAAATTATACTAAAATATTGTGGCACTGTTCTAAAAGTAAAACTGGGAAATGAATTGTAATGGCTATGTTCCTGATATGTATAGAAATAACCATTAAACACTTAGCTTTTTTTTTTTTTTTTTTTTTTTTTTTACAAAAATGCGTTGGCTTATAAACATCTGTGATCATAAATATTTCTCAGAGAAGAACTGGCAGTGAATGCGTAGTATTAAGCTGATTTTTTTTTTTTTTTTTTAAAGCAGAAAGCTTCTTCCTGTTCACTATTA